CTGACGCGCAGGGCACAGGAAGCCGTACGTCGACACGTTCCGCTCGGCCCTTGTCACGGGCTTGACCTGGCTCCTGTCATCAGCCTCCTTTGTGTAACCGTGGGCTCTGCTGATCAATGCGATCAGCCACAACTCTCAAGTGCTACCTACCAGTTCTGCCGGATGAAACCAAGTCGGAGAAATGGCTGCAGATGGGAACGTTTCATGTTTCTAACCTCTCGGTGGTAATGCAGACTCATTTCTTGTCCTGTTACTCCTATTGCAGGATTTCAAAGTATTTATGATCAGAAATCCAGTTTACCCATAACAAAAGCTTTCTGTTCTTAAATGCTTCCCTAATTCAGCAATAATGTACAGTCTCTCCTAGTTACTGGAATTAATGCTTCTGATTTTTTTTATAATCTTTATAAATATTGTCTAGTGTAGTTGGTTCAATATATTTCAGAAGAAATCTTTTTAAAGAAATTTTTCTTAGCTTCTTGATCTGGCACAAAGTGTGCATTCAGTAAAACAGATGGGTATTTTCTTCACTTTTTATACAAAGAGAAAGTTATTCTTTGGCTATAGATGACTTGCAGTGCTTAGACTATTGGATGAGTGACAGAACCTTATTTATTATAGCTGAACAATTCATTGCCGTCACTGCCAGAAACTTCCTTCACAAACGTTGTCAACTGCGGCTGCCCATTGGATCATCTGTGGAGCTTTAGAGGAAAACGTAAAACCTGGACTCTGCCTTTAATTAATCTGGGAGCAGTCTGGTGGTAGAATTTTTCAGAGCTTTCTAGATGACTTTAATATGCGGCCAAGGGTAGAGAACTGCTGCTTTATAGCAACAATAGGACCCTGAGGCTCATTCTGTCCTGGGATTTAAAAGAAAAGTCTTACGAATCATGTTGGAGGAAAAATTTTCCTAAGAAAGTTCAGGCAGTCTGGTTTTCCTGCTAGCCAAATTTGGCCTGTTCGGCTAAATAAAATTTTATTGAAACAAGCCACGCACGTTTGTTTACATGTGTCCGGTGTCTGCTGCAGTAGTGACTTCAGTAGTTGTAGCAGAAAGTGTATGACTAACGTAGCCTAAAATACCACTTTCTGGCCCTTGCCAATTGAGTTATGATGGCATTTCCCAAAACGCACTCCAGACAATCCACTCACTACACACAAATGTCTCCTAGATGGTTTGTAGTATTCTCCTTAAAAGTCAACAGTAATACACACACACACACACACCCATCGAACTCCAGTATATCTCCAGTGCTTATTTCTATTTTATTTTGAGACAGGGGGTCTGGCTAAGTGCCCAGGTGGGACTCAAACTCGCAGTCTTCCTGCCTCAGCCTTCCAAGTGGTGGGATTATAGGCCTGTGCTACCCTGGCCAGTAGTAATGATATGCTTTGATACATTCAGTAACCACGTTTGCTACTTTGTTTGAGGCGCCTGTTTCTGAACAGAACCTCACATTTTTTGGTGTACTCCTTTTCTCTCTCAATTTTAAGAGCTGTAGGACTCGTAGTAATCCACTTATCAAAGTGGAATGTAGGCGGCTGACACAGCACCCCGGGTAAGCAGAGGAGGCTGGGGCGGCATTGCCAGATGTGCCCAGCCAGCCCTGGTGCCTTTCCCGGTGTGCTGGTGGTTGGGAATCCCGGGCAGCCTTTTCCGCTGCTCTCCCGTCTTTGTAAGTGTGTTCTGGCAGCCTGCCTTACACACGCATGTGGAGCCGCTACTAAGCTTGAGCATTTGTGGAAAACTGACGCACCTTGAGAACAGGATGTGATATGATAGAAATCACACTCACAAGCTTAAGTATTGCCCGGTTTCTCATAGAAGAGGAAAATGATGGCTAAAGATCAGAAGAAAAGCTAACAGGATGTAGGGAGGAGATACAGTAGGTCTTTCTCAGATGGGCTGGGGGTCAGGGATGGAGGTGGGGAGGGGAGAGAAAAGGGTGCAGAAAGAACCGAGATGTGTTCCGCACACGTCCCGGCTCCGCACGAGGAACGGGAGCGCTATGTACTACCCACATCTGATAAAAAATGAAACCTGAGGAAAAAAAAAAACAAACAGAAGAGAATGGAACTGTAGCTGCCAGAGTACATGGGGGGTGCAGTCCCAGCCGGTCCCAGAGCTTGCTCAGCTCAGCAGTGTGTTCGAGGTCTTTTCTGTCGGCCCTGCTGCTTGCTTCATCAGGGGCTCTGTCTCTCTTCCCACCCCTCAGCCCAGCCCGGTCTTTCTCGGTCTTTCTCATCTCGCCACAGCCTCTGCAGCCTGCACAGTGCCTGCAGAGGGGTCCTGCACCTGCTGCTTCCTCTGTGCTGCCTCCACTTCCGGGAGTGCTCATTAGCATTTTAAGAGATTTTAACAAAAATTTGATGTGGACACTGGAAGCAGGATAGGTTTCATCCTAAAGACTTGATCTCTCCGGTCCTGATTTAATCCTTGCTGCAGTAAGAAGGTGTAATTCCCTGAACAGGGGTGGGAAAACAACAGTTTGGCAATGGAAACAGGATTTGGTGACGTCCTAGCTTGGTGCCCTGTGTATTCATAGCTGTGTCTTTGAGAGTGTCAGGGCACTGAGAATACTCTGCCTTCTGTTTAACAATGGCTGCTTCTCATTTGCCAGCAGCCCGGATCCGTTCGCCTGGAGGGGCCAGCTGCATCGGTGGGAAGTAAAGCGAACTTAATCGCAAGCTGAGTGAGTGAGCGGAGCTCAGGTTCAGGCTCAGGGCCGTGGTTCCTGCTCAGAGCTCGCCCGCTGTCTTTGTGGCCATCTTTGGTTGTACAGCGGGCACTGCTGTCTCCTTGTAAGATCGTACACTTCTGGGTGGCAGCACCCACGTCTGCCCATCTTCCTGGGCTTTAAGAGAGCACGGGTGCTTGCTGTGGATGTTACTAAACACTGAGGGAGAGAGGAAGACTGAGTCTCTGTTCCACTCTGTTCAGCTGTGCTACACTAAAATTATCCTGTTTTTTCTTTTCAATATGAAAGTCTTATTTTCAAATAAAGCAACACATTGGATGAGTCACTCTCATTAACTCTACATAGGATTTTTGAATGCTTGAGGTTTAATAATTTTTTTTTAAATTTAGTCATTTTGGGGACTTTGAAAAAATGTGTTTTCCCTCACTGCTTGCTAAGAAAGCTGGGTTTCCTGGTGATTTAGGGAGGCCTTTGTCAGATACACCTGAAAGTCTTTCCCTGGGTCCCAGGCTCTTCAGCTGTGCTGCCCCTCCTCCTCCCCAGGCACCCAGCTGTGGCTCTTGCTGTCCCAGACAGCCCTCTCGCACCCTTCCTGGGTGGATCACCGTGCCCGTCTTCTGAGCTGGTAGAGCACTCACAGCTATGTGAGCCCTCCCCTCTGTGTCCCGGTCTCTATGCCTGCCTTTGTCACCCTTGGATTCCAGTACCGAGTAGGCTGATGATTACGGGGAATCAGCACAGGTAGGAGTGGGGTTTAATGGAGATAGACATGGTGGTTCTCAGGAACCCAGTGAACGGGCACTCCCAGGCTGCCCGACCACACGCAGAGGTACATGGAGACGAACAAGCCCCTGACTCAGCCCCTTCTGCAGCTTCCTAGAGAGTCCTTGAGTCACACAGGACACATTGGCTTGCTGTAAACCCAGCCATAACTTGGATAAGAAAGCCGCTTATCGGAGAACCGTGAGCTGCTCCCGGGAAGGCCACGCGGAGACCAGGGGTGCAGTGGGTGTGGGGTCACTGTCCACTGTCATCCCCTAGCCTTGGCCATCTCTGCCTCCGGCTTGTGTTCGCTCTGGGGTCAGTGCTCAGCAGGGAGCTTTCTGCTTCTCTTTCAAGATTGACTTTCCAGGAAAGTGACATTCTTACGTTCATTCCATTGCAGAATTTGATATTAGCTGAATCCTATCTTTTATTCCTTTGACAGTTTCCAACCCAGGAGCAGTTGGATTAAAGGAGGAATTGATTTGGGATGACTTAATCAGCCAAAATTCTCTTGTAGCCATTTTATATTCAGTAATTCAAAATCATTTCTGGGTTCTGAGCGAGGTATTTGAAGGAAAGGCCTAATAACTAACGTTGAGTTAGTGTTATGGGGCAGTAACTGCCGAATGATTTTATAGGTATGAAGTCACCCCGTTCTCTCATGAATCCCTCATTGGGTACTGCCACTCTTTCTACTTTTAACGCTTGGGAAGTTTAACTTTGAAAAGAAGAAACTATGTTATGTGAGTATAAAATGTATGAGAAAAAGTGGTGGGAACATCCTGGGCCAGTAAGTAGGGGGACAGACAGGGGCCTGAGTCCCATGCTGCAGATTTTGGGGCTACTCTGCTGGGAACACAGATTCCCTGGGGTTTTTGGGTCCTGGGGTGCAGTCACAACTTCCTGTAGAGAAAGTTTCCTTGGGTATAGTGTGTGCAGTGAAGACACCAGCAGTGTCTGAGGGGCCTTGACAAGCGACAAGGGCAGCCCCCAGGGAGACCCGAACCAAGATGACAGCTGTGGGTAGGGAGTGAAGCAGAGCCTGTTGTGATTTTCTTTCAGGCTTTCCATGAATTCCCTCTCTGGGCCCTGGTTTTCAACTTTCTCTTTTAAATATTGTCTTTCAGATGCTACCAATTTTGGGGTTGCCAAATTTCAGTGCCAAAAAAGGGTCAAAGATATTAAATATTGACTGTTTTCTTGCCTGATTATCTTTCACTGGTGGGCAGTAAAATGAGTCAACTCCTAAGAACCAGGTGTTTAGCCAGGACCGCTAGAATTATACATAGCTCTGAGCCTTAATTTGCCGCTGCCAAGCACTTTGATCAGCGGTAAAGCCTCCTTTACTTTATTTCATTGTGGTCAGAAGTAACACGGTGTCTGATCTGAATCTGAACTGAAAATCTGCCAAGGAATAAATACATTCGTGTGACGTATTGTGTATAGAAAAAGAGGTGAGATGGGACAGAAGGAATAGTGCTCTGAAGATGTGTAAATGACCCTAATGAGTAACGGTCAGTTTTCTTTCAGCAGATTTCTGCTGATGGCAGGTCACCTTCCAGTGTAAATGGTGGGCCCGAGCTGGACCGCTGCATGAGCCCAGAAGGTAGTACTCCGAATTTCATTCGTCGGGGAAGGGATCGCGTCACTGATGAGCTCATCGTTTGGGGGTGGGGTCGCTTCCAGTTATATATGACTGTGTTCATCTCAGCCTTTCTGAGAAGGCTTTGAGCCACAGGTTAACCGTGACGATAGACACACCCACCCCTGCACGGGGCTCCGCCCAAGTTGCTCTGCTGCGGAACTGCACCCCCAGACCTTTTTTCTTTTTTGAGACAGTCTCACTGAGTTGTCCAGGCTGGTCTTGAACTTGTGATCCTCTTGCCTCAGCCTCCTGAGTAGATGGGATTACAGTTGTGCATCACTGTGTCCAGCTTTGGAATTGGTAGAATATTTGCCAGCATGCATGAGTTCCTAGGTTCAATTCCCAGAACTTCACCAAAAAAAAAAAAAAAAAAAA